GGGACTTGCCACTTACTTGGTAGTTCTTTAGTTTCATGGTTTAGCAAGAAACAAGTCAGTGTTGCGTTATCCACAACCGAAGCGGAATACGTTGCCGCCGGTAGTTGTTGTGCTCAAATCCTTTGGATGAAGCAACAACTCGTGGACTATGGCCTTAGTATCAGTCACGTTCCTCTTCGTTGTGACAATACTAGCGCCATTAGCTTGACGAAGAACCCCGTTCTTCATTCAAGGACGAAACACATTGACATTAGGCACCATTTCATTAGAGATCATGTTCTCAAAGGTGATGTCGAAATTGAGTTTGTTGAAACACACAACCAATTAGCCGACATTTTCACAAAACCTTTAGAGAAAGAGTCGTTCTTCCGCATTCGTAGCGAACTCGGAATCCTTGACTCCACGATGATTTAATTTGTGCATTTTATCATTCTTTTATTGTTACTGGAACGTTTACTAACTTGAGCGTCGGAGGGTTTTCTAACTCTTTTTTGCAGGGACGGTTCGAAGTGAAGAACTCTGGAAATCAGGGGGAACCAGCGATGGGTAGGCCATACCATCGCTGGGAGGGAAGGTTCTTTTTTTCCAGAATCCCTCTTCCCATTGATGGGTGCTTCTTCCCATCGATGGGTAATTGACTCTAATTTTTTTTTAAAAATATTTAACGGATTTCCAGAACACCCTAACCCATCGATGGGTACTTTGTCCCATCGCTGGGTGAAGGACTTTTATCAATTTTTTTTCTGAACCTCCCATCCCATCGATGGGAACTTTCTCCCATCGCTGGGTGTTTGACACTCTTTTTTAAAGCATTTTATCGGATTTCCAGTATCCCCCTTCCCATCGATGGGATAGTTTCACCATCGCTGGGAAGGCAGCCATTGTTTTCTTCTTCGCATTCCAGTGTCGACCTTCCCATCGATGGGAAGTTCCACCCATCGCTGGGAAGCCTGCTGCCAATTCAAATTTTTTAACCGTTGGTCACCGAATTTATTGCCCAACAGTCACTTTTTTGAAATTCAAACGAATTTCACACCCTTTCCTATATATAGATATATCCTTCATCTCTACTCATTTTAACACACATTTTTCACATCAAAATCTCCTCTTTTACACAATTCTTCATCTTTTTGCTTCATTCATGGCCGGAGGAAAGAAGACAAAGGTTTCCAAGAAGAAGGGCAACGCCGAAGCTACGACCTCAGCGCCACCGCCGTTCCCCTACCTGGACGGCTCGTTTCTTGAGTTCAGGTCGGAGGAGGAACTCAACCGGTTCCTCACGCACTTTGCCAAGCGTCCCATTTCTCCGCCTAGGGTGCTGCCCGAGTTGTACCCTCAACAAAAGGGGTACCATGACCTCGACAATCAGCTTCAAGCATCGGGTCTGTGGTCGTTCGTCTCCAGGAGCCGCTCGAGCTTCAATCCCGCCTTTGTGCGAGCCTTCTACTCCAATCTCTGCCGAGACGGGGACACCATTCGCAGTAGCATCAATCTCTACGACATAGAGATTGATCTGGCTACCTTCGCTCGGGTCGCAGGGCTGCCCACCCGCGGTGACGACATCACAACATATGGCGGCGATGATTGGATCCTCAACAACGAGGCGGTGGTCATCCGAGAGCTTGGGATCACCATCCTCATCCGTCACAGCGGCGCACCAACAATCCACTCAGCCCCGCCGGAGAAGCGTCTTCTTCTCTACATCCTCACCCGGATTCTTCGCCCCCGGGACGGTAGCCACACATGTCTCTTCAACGAGGATCTCAAGGCGGTTCATGCTATAACCCACGGCGCCTCGATCAATTGGGCAAAATACGTCATGATTCACATGGCGGATTGCGCCTCCATCGCCACTGAGCGGAGCTTGCCATACGCCTTCCTCGTCATGGACCTCATCATCTCCGCCGACATCTCCATCGCCGGCCCGGATACGAAGATGACAAAGATTTGGATAATTCAAGACAGCACCTTCCGGAAGAAGTCCGGAGACCGGGACGACGCAGGCCCGAGTCGTGCACCAGCCCCCTTTGCAATCCATAGCCGATACTCTGAATCGGCTAGCCCTCACAGTAGACGGCATGGGGCAGTCAATCGAGCGGATGGACTGGACGCTGCAACGCCAACACCATGACATGACGGTGTTCTTCCGCGGCATCAACTACGTCCCGCCGCCCTTTGACAGCACCTTCCTCGGCCAAAACTATGAAGGCGAGGACGAGGAGGATAACTCCTATGGTCCATCCTCCTCTCCCGACGAGGCCGACTTTGAAGACGCGGTCGACGGGGATCCCATGGACGTTGAGAACGACGAAGAAGACGATGACGCCGAGGACGAGGACGCCGCTGCCTAAACTCTTCTTTTTTTTCCTTCCTTCCTATGATTGTTTTTTATTATTATTAATTCCATTCCGTTGTATTCCACATTTTCTCCTTTTTCATGAATAAAAGTTTACTTTTATACTCCAAAGTTCACTTTTAATTCTTTTTGTTAATGTCAAAAGGGGGAAGATATCAAGGTTATGCATAAATTGAGGGGGAATTATTTTTTCAAATAAAATGGCATCTATTAAGGGGGAACACTTTTTTAAAGCCTCAAAGACTTCCTCATATGCATAACCTCATCTCGTTTGCCATTATCAAAAAGGGGGAAATTGTTGAAACACGGGAATGTCACGTTTTCGTACTAAAGCCGTGTTTGTTTTTATGACAGGTTTTGATAATGCCAAACCGCCGTGATCAAGTCAAACTTTGAATATACAAGGCGAAGAAGGAAGACAAGAACAAGAGCTAAAAGAAGACCAAGAACGAAGACCTTAGGCTTAGTGTCGTTGAGTCGGTCTTCATTGTGATCAAGACCGACCCAATCTTTACACCTTGGCTCTTTAGGCTAAAAACCTTCATTGCACTTCTTAAATCATAAAAATGTTTTTCAAACATGTTTAAGTCATTAAAAACACTTGGTGTTCGCCCAAACCAAAAACCAAGCCATCCGGCGTTCGGGTTTCAGAAACTGGCGTTCGGCTCTCGGTTATCGGCTATGGTTTTTGGCGTCCGAACCAACCAAGTGGTTTTCAACTTTTTATGATTGGTTTTTACTCTTTGGCATGTTTAAACGGTTCTCCAACAAAAACACCTTGAAAACCATCTTTCGCTTTTGGTCGTTTGACAAAAATCATTCAAAACGGCATAAAACTTGGCTAGCCGTGGTTTTCACTTAAATGACGTGGTTTTTAAAGTGTCTTACTCGATTTATTAGCCAAATACATCAAATAAGTGTTTTAAACACTTGGTTTTTATTTTGGAGAACTTTGNTTGGATTTTTCGGTCGGTTTTTGCATCGGTTGGCTAGGCCGTGGTTAAGGCAAAAACCATAGGTTTTTGGCTAACCACCCACCCAGCGATGGGAAGAACATCCCATCGATGGGTAAGTAGCCCCTTAGCCAAACCAACTTCCAGAACCATGCCAAACAGCGATGGGAAGCTCTACCCATCGCTGTTCAAGCCTTGGTCCAACATTATCACAAGGCAGAATGCCCTTACCCAGCGATGGGAAGCTTTACCCATCGATGGGAACCCAGCGATGGGAAGGCTAAACCATCGATGGGAAGGCATGACCGTTGGAAGTCATTTAAGGTTGATTCTTTCCTTGTTTGGAAGTCAACCTCCCACCCAGCGATGAGAAGCTTGTACCCATCGATGGGTAGGTAACCGTTGGCTTCAAAACTGAAGGAAAATTGGCTTACCAGCGATGGGTAAGTTCCAAACATCGATGGGAAGCCAATATCCTGCAGATCCCAAATTATTTCAATCCCTTAAATCAAGCCAATCACCCCTTTAATGCATTGGTCCGTTGGAGCCTATTTTGGCACTATAAAAAGGGGTGTTTGGGTCTGCTTTTCTCATCAATTCACTTCACAATATTCATATCATCATTGCATTAAAACAACATCATTTTTCATAGCTTTCAAGAGCCAATTTGTGAAGTTTGAGTTGTTCTTGAGCGTACTTAGTTTACTCATAATCTACTCTATAAGAGATCCTCGTTCTTGAGTGTATTCGTGTTCTTAGACACTTTGAGAGAAAGTATTTCTCTCGGTAGATTCAAAGGAAGGGCTGTTTCCTTTGAAGGACTCGTTGAGGTTCGTGTAACTCGAACTCTCAAGTTGTAACGGTTTGTTAAGCACCCGCAAGCTTAACGAGATAGTAGTGTAGCTCGAGAGAGTCTCTCGGGAGGCTTGATTAGCCACAAGTTGTGGTGAACCAGGGTAAAATTCGGTGTGCCTCTTACTCTTCTCTTTACTTCTCTTTTAAGTTTTTAATTCCTGCGATTTCTACGATCAAACACTATTCACCCCCCCTCTAGCGTTGGTCTTTTATTCTAACATCTTCTAGGTGTTCTAGCATTATTTTGTCTATTTGAAAAATTAATTTTATGCACAAAATCATTTCGATAGTTTTTCTTGGGTTGTCTAACATGCACATTTTCATTCCTAGGCTTTTGTCTAGGTTGTTAGTGTCCTTAGGTTGACTAGATTTTCTATTATCCTGATTTTTACTTTTCTTATGTTGAGCCTTAGGAGGTTGTCTAGGTGTTTGCTCAACGTTTTTATCCTTAGATTCATTTTTATCAAAACCTATTCCTTCTTTAGAAAAATGCATGGTGTCAAGGAGTAAATTAAGATTTTTGTGCGGAGTATTAAATTTCTTAACCGTACTCTCAAGTTTAGTGACTTGTTCCTTTAAAGCTTTACAAGATTCACATTCGTTTGAGGAACTTTCCGGTTTGTTGGCGCTTCTTTTGCCATAAAATTTATTTTCTTGTTTCAACTTCTCATTATCTTTTTCCAACTTTTCAAAATCATTTTCAAGAGTGGAAAGGCGTTTCTTTAACGATTTGTTGAGTTTAGAAGCGCTAACAAATTCACCATAAAGTTCGTGAAGTGCTTCTTGCATTTCTTCAAAAGTGTAAGAGTCGGAAGAAATGGTACATACCTCTTGTACATCGTCGGTTTGGTCTTCGTGTGCCATGAGACAGAGGTTGGCAACTTCAT